TACTGGTCACTGTATTATCACATGATAATGTACCATGTTAAAAAAGAATTCCCCATTATGATTGGCAGTGAGAACTTAGTGTAAAATGCGCAGTTTTTTTTTTTTTTTTTTTCAGGACCAAAGAAACTGGTAGAAAAACTGCACCCGATATGACGGGGTGTATTCCATTTCCCTTAAAATTTCAGCTTTCTAGCTTTTCAGTTTCTCGAGTTAGCAACTTCCCACGCCGATTGCCATGAAGCAACAATCGTAAAGTGGTGATCAATACAATGATACAGTGGCAAATGAAACAATAACAGTCATTTCGAAGGAAACCATCGTCTAAATTTCACACTTTTAAAGCACTTCTAATTCAACCTGGATGACCTGGCAACCGACTTTCTACGAGAAAAGGAGGTACTACCATAATGTTTCTAAGGCAAAACATGGCACCGATTCCTTTCGGATTCAAAGCAGCAAAAATTCGATCCTTCCCGAATCCCAATTTTCGTCGCTTCGAAAGAATTCCAATCGGTACGATTAAGAAAGTAGGGAAACACAGCTCAGTTATGGGGAGCATAACCCGAACATAACCTCATTTTTTCCTTTGTTTTTTTCCCTATCCTCCTTTCCGCTCCTCCCCTTTCCCCCTTTTCCACCCCTAACCTCGTTTTTTGCCTCACCCCTCATTCTTGCTAGGATGCTCCGCTGTTGCAGTTCCAACAAAAAACTCAGGAAAGAGAGAAAAAACACAAATGAGTGCAGAAATGCAGTCAAAGAACAGGAAATATGACTCCAGTACCACATAACAACCTCATATAATTCAGCGATCACAAACAATGCAGAGTAATCTCAAACAATTCAACAGTCCGATATTCAACAGCAAAAGATTGAGTCCGATATTCAACAGCAAAAGATTGATAAGCCGAAAATTTGGCCGGAAAAATCTGAAATTCAGCAAACGTGGCACTTCCCAGCATACCATCAAACAAAGCAACAGAAAAAATGAAAGGCCTGTGATGAAGGACTTGGAGCGAAAAAACCTGCGGGCCTTAGGAATCGACTGCCAATTGCTTAGCTTTCAGCACGGCCGGTGCTGAACTTGGTGGCAGAATACGTAGCTCGGTGACCAGCGCAGTGATTAGTTCAGCTGGCACCGCTTCCTGTCTTTCACCAACCAATGCACTCACTTCATGCACACCATGCAAAAAAGACTGCACCTGTAAAGGTACCAGAACTGTAATTCGCACTAAAAGTGGGTTTAAAAAAATTGGAAAAAAAATAAGGCGACAAAACCGTAATTTTAACACGAAAATTCGATCAAAGAAAATTTTTACACGAAATTTTTTACAATTTTTTACACAGTTTTACACGAAAATTCTTTCTAAAAATTTTAAGTGGAATTTTTAAAAAAAAACCTTTTTTTGAAATCTTTTTCTCCCTCCTTCCTCTTCCTTTCACTTTTTACCCCACTCTTACTCTGTCTAATCCTACCTTCTGCTTCTTCCTGTCGTCTTTCTCTTTTCTTTTACTTTTCTATCCAGCACTGCGACCATCAAATTGACGAGGTCCTGTCGCGCGGTGTTGAGTTAAGACGTATATGACTTAATGGACCGAAACGTCTTATCTCAGTTTTATCTTCTTATCTCATGCTGTAATCTATCGCGCCTTCGCCACTTCGGCTTTCGGGGTCAATCTGGTTACTACAGTCGACTTGAAATGCAGAATTTTCATAACTTAAACACAAAGAAAATCGTGTAAAACAGCCATCAAATGGAGACGAAAGGAGCATTAGAATCGTTAACAGGCTATCCACCGGGCAATGTAGCACTGAACA